AAATTGGTGGAAAGACAACAAAGATTGCAAAACATCATATCCAATTCATCACACAATTTTCTGGGAAGTTGGTAAAAATAAAACTGATTTCATCACAATGTACATGTAATACTTAAGTACAAAGTAAATACTGATACAGAAAATGTACTTTGTAAGTGAAACTCACTTGGCATGGAGATAATTCATAAATAGCTTCCAGATCATGGTAAAAAGGATTAAAGAAAGAAGATATCCGTACCAAACAGAATACATGTATACCTGTAACATGAAACAAAACAAAACTTCTCAAACATATAATATCATGTACAGAATTTCGTGCATAGCTTGTTCAAGACATTAGATGGAATCAAAAACTATACTTACCACAAATATCAAAAAAGATGCTGTGGGATTTGACCATGTGAGCACCTTCCCAACAGACTTGATAAAACCTGTTATAGGTTTAATTCCAGTACCTTTGTGGAAAAAAATATATTTCATGTAACTTTCAAGGGAATATACTAGATAGCTGGTCATTTCTGGAGAGAATTGTTTAATAAATATTAACAAATGAATTCTTTGCATTTAAAGGGTTAAATCAAAAGTATGTAACTTCAGTAAAGGCAAATAACAAACACTCTTAATAAATAGTGGATACTTACTGAATCTATTGATGTTTTCCTTGAGTCTAGAAAAGAAAAAAAACTTGAAGAGTCAGGGATAATGTGGGTCACACAAAAAATGTTCCCTAATCGATCATCAATTCTGCAACAGCACTCTAAACAAGATTGACTCTTTTAACCATAACATCAGTATGCAAGTTCTCCATACTGTTCTCTATACTTTTCCTATGGTACTTACAAGGAGAATTTGTCCAACAACATCAGTATGCAAGTTCTCCTTACTGTTCTCTATACTTTTCCTATGGTACTTACAAGGAGAATTTGTCCAACAATATCAGTATACAAGTTCTCCTTACTGTTCTCTATACTTTTCCTATGGTACTTACAAGGAGAATTTGTCCAACAACATCAGTATACAAGTTCTCCATACTGTTCTCTATACTTTTCCTATGGTACTTACAAGGAGAATTTGTCCAACAATATCAGTATACAAGTTCTCCATACTGTTCTCTATACTTTTCCTATGGTACTTACAAGGAGAATTTGTCTATCAATTAAAAGTTTCTAGAGTTTGCAATCATTTCCTTTAATCTCATGACCTTAATGTGTTACTCAGGGGTGATACTGTTCGGAGAAATTAGATGCTAGTCACTCTTATGTATGGGGTATGGACTTAATAACAACCAATTAACTCATATCTATGGGCAACTTACGTTTTGATGGCCAAGGGATCACCCTCACCATCCTCCTCATTGGTGTCTTCAGGTTCATCATTAACGAAATCCCACAGTCTGTCTCCCAACTAATTATCAGAAAAAATAGTGAGAGTAAATTGAATGTTTAGGGGAATTGCAACTTGATCCCCTTCATAAGAAGAAAAGATGTCAGTCCATCACAGAGAGGGCCTAAAGCAATTGTTTTAGAATTCTGTTCATACCCCGGGCAGAGAGAGGTACTGTAAGGGGGCAATGTCTTGCTCAGAAAAACATGGTGATTCTGACAGGGCTTGAAACAGGTCACTAAATAATTATAAGCCACTGCAACTTCCACAAACACAAACTAGTGAAATTAGAAAGAAAGAATAAGGGCTGCAGAGAAAATTAAGAAGATAACAAAGTATGGGTCATCAGCAGTGTGAAGGAAAGAAGATGCATTAAGTATGCCTCACCCACTATCAAGGCTGATGTAAAAATACATGACAAAATTATAATACACTTTCAACTCACAATGTCAATGACTTTTGCTTTCCACATTTCCAGTTTTGTCTTAAATCGTTGCACTTTTTGACCATCTCCATCAACTTTAAAAAAGGAGAAATGATTTATGAATATGTGTAAGTCACTTGAAATCTAAGATTTTATACAATATAAAGTTTTGGCATACACTCACACAGTTAAAAAAAACCCTTCAAAAGCATGAGTGATTCTTCTGACATGAGCTTGGTCTCCTTACCAGATTCAACAGCTGCTTGTTCCTCTAACTGATCTCTTGCATGGCTGCTGTTAAGCACTTCACATGATTCCTGATTTTCTTCTGGGTGAGTTCCTTGACTGCCATTTGTGACATGTGATAGGGTATGTGACTCATCCTCTCCTCCTAGATACACCCAGTCATCACCTTGGTCTCTTTCTGGGTCAGTTCCCTGATGACCACTTTTTGATCTGGGATCTATTCTATTTGCATTTTTCCTTACAATTGAAATTTGTTAATTGTTACAATTAAAACAATAAAATATTATGCTACTGACAGTAACTCTCAACTTTGCTTTTCTACATATATAGCTTTTCTCAGATATCTCATGAACCTAAAGAGATGAGTAGAGAAAAGCAGGTTCAAGTTATATATGATGCACTTTTCAATCAATTAACTTCAAAATGTTTTGTCAGTCAATAAAAAACTTTTTTTGCTTATATTGCAGTTATGCTACACATCTCTTCTAAAGGAAATAAAAATACCTTTTAAAAAAAATGTAAATTTGATTTAGCTGTATATTAACGACTCTTTCAAAAATAATTCCACACATCGGCAGACTGATAATGAATTAAGGATTTTAACACAAGTTGCATGATCATTTCCAAACATAAATAAACATTAAGGAAATACCTTGAAATTGCTCCATAATTATTTAATTATAAAGCTCTCATAAAGGCTTAGTTCCCTAAACTGAAAACAGATGACATCCCAAAATTTCTATCACTCTATACTTGTATCTTGAGGAGCACTGTTTCATCATGAACTTCTTGGATACCAGGAACTAAGATTATTCCTGTCTCTTGTGTAAGTTTAATATGCATCAAATGAACTTCCAAATATCTTACCTATGTAGTTTTGAACTGGATGATTTCTGTTTCTGTTTAAGTTTCTCCCTTAGTTCATTATTTTTAGCTCTTTCTTCTTGGATTTCCTTCTGAAGTTTCTGAACATCCACAGCTTTCAGTTTCTCCAGTTGCACACCTTATATTAAACAAAGAGTGGCATTAACTTTTCAATTGACCGTATTTATACAGTATGCGATTATTTAAGTCAATAAAGCTTCAAAAAGTTGTTATAGTCAATGCCTCATAATGAAACCATCAGAATTTCATGGGATGCTGATGGACAGATTTTGTATTAAAAATACCAACCAAAAATGTCACAATTCAAAAAATGTTTGTTATGATAACAATTGTTCCACATCAAGAAGCAAATCTCTTTTTGTAAGTGGAAAGTGGTGAGCGTAAGGAACTTATGGAAATTATTGATCATAGCTACCATATTATCCTCAATAAAAGAGACTGAAAAATTGGACCAAGAAATCCCACGCCTTGGTTGTTCAAAGGGTGCATAATAGCTTCTGTGGCTACAAACCCCCTTGTTAACTATGCGACACCTCCCCCCTCCTCCCTCTCGCCTTCCCCCGTCCTTTAATTCCCATCTTTTGCATGGGTCTTTCTCTCTAAGATTTCTAACGTTTAAGTGATCTATCAACCTCAATCCGTGATCTTTCACTTACTCATGTCCTGATAATCAATCATGGTGTTAACAAGCTGTTCTTGAAGTTGAGCCAGCTGGGTTTCGTAAATCTCTCTTTCGGAGCTTGAAAATTCCCCTCTATTCGGAGTAACCTTTTGATCGCAATTCCCCTTCCCTCCATGAATCTCGTGTAACGTAGGTTTCGCCGAGCCATCTTCTTCATCCAGGCTTTCCTTATCGGAGCTGCTACTGTGGGTGGATTCGAGAAACTCGTGGCTGAAATCTGTGGTTAGTACTTCACCATGCGTACTGCAACCAACTGTTTCTGCGACAAGTGCATTTAAATTTTCATGATCACCATTCGTATTTTTAGCATCTTCGTGACCTCCATCGCGGTGAAAGAAGGAGTGCGATCTTCCATGAGAAGTTTTTCCTCGATTTTCATTCTTAGTTGAATCAGTGGTTTGCTTTCCACGGAACGCAGAACGAAGCATATTTCCAGATATCTCACCTCTTTCACAATACGTCACCTGTTTGTTTTGTTCCAAATTAAGATCCTCTCTTGCTTGTGCTCGATTCCCTGTCAGGGCGGGGGGAGCTCTGATAAAGAGATTTCATCGATTCCATCTCTGTAGTAAAAGTTTTACCGTGTTCACGTTGATTTTTTTATCCAGCTTTCTTCAAGTTAATTAAAATGATTTTTCATTTGAATAAGTTTTGAGAAATCTTTTGGCTCAATTGTGGAAAAAAAAAAGATAAAGAAAAAAGAAAATCCCCCCCCCCCCTGAACATTACCCTCCGTGCCCTTGATAAAAAAAGAGTAATCCCACAATACAGTGGAATCATGTTAGACCGCCATGTTTGTAATCTACGAGTACAAGCTGTGTAAACATCTGGCCGGGCCGCGGGCTTTTCCAACAGTTTCCAGGCACAAAAGGAATTGTAACACCTGAGTTATTTAAGTGGAAATGCCTCATGTTCTCTCAGCGAAGAAATGAATGAAATAAGCGAGTCTGAACGCGGATTGAAGGCCGTTTTTAAGGTACAAGGGAAGCTGTATGATGTCTATCTTGATGAAAATGAAATCGTGTGGACCTTACAAGGCGAGTTGAGTTCAGGTATTTACTAAGCATGCCAAAAGCATTGGCTTATATCGGAAGCGTCGTTCGTCTATTTTTGAGACTTTTTTGCAAGTAAAATCGTTCTCCGATTGAACTTAAAAGCTTTGGTGAACCGTTTGACATCAATTGATTCCATGAGGACATGTCAACACCAAGTTAATGTTCGATCCAGTTTCATAAATTAAATGTATATATCACTTTCCTCATATGTTTTTATACGTTCTAGTAATCGTTAAACTAGTCGGCTCTGTATTTATCTCGATCGTGTATACCTCAAGCTAAATTTTAAGTATGCAATTGAGTGAAGTGTAACAATGACAGAACAAAGTGGCAGAAACTGAAACAGCAGTTTCACGTCGAAAGTAAATGTTTAGAGAGAAAACATCTCATGAAACAGAAAGTTTTCTAGCCTTATGCAATTAAACACCTTTTAATTGTGTGAGATACCTATAAAGTTAGGAAGTCGTTTCACATGTACAGTTTATGTAATGAAAATTGTACGAGTGTTTTTTGCATTAATTCCTTATATGAATATGATCATTTTAAGTATTGCTCTTATACGAGCCTTTTTACGGTTCTGCTCATCTGAAAGGCTTGAAAGTTGCTTCCATCTGTTTTAAGATATGAGTGGTTGGTCTTCTATATCATGTTGCCTTTATGCACCTTAGATAATGATAGTATAGTAATGGTGAATTTTTCTCCTCATTTTTTTCCTTCACCAAAGACACTGAATAGTAATATTATTATAACATGGCTGAACTGAATTTTTTTATTTTTCCCAACATAAAAGAAATTTGCAGTCAGCTCAGGAAAAAATTTCCACAAGAAATTGAAATGTAACTGCAGCAAACAAGTAAAGTATTCTCACTGATGGCTGTTTGGAAATGTTGCTTAAGTGAGGATGCTTCTTGGAGGAGAGGGGACTCAAAATATATTTCAACAAGGGTGCTTTCCCTCAAGATCCAAAATCTGATACATTGACAAGCCCTCAAGGCAAACTTTTACATATGTGTATGTGTGCAAATTAATCTTAATATTTAACATATTATAAATTTTGCATAAGAAATTGAATATTTTTTATATTGACATGAACTCTTGTTGATGTAAACAGCCTCCAGCACACGCAATTACAACCTTTCCACAAGATCTGTGAAACTGTCAGATATCATTGGTGCATGGATAGCAAAACGACGCATACCCAGGAATGAAAGCAAGGATGGTGAACTTGTTGGATTTACTATTTTTACCTTCCAAAAAGCTGAAAACAGGAAGCTGTGTGAAGCAAGGATAACATTTGAGAGTGAGGACCAAAATGTCTGTGACATGTGGGTTGTTAAGATTAACGACACTTTAAAGAGTAAGTTTTAACATGGTTAATTAGGTAGGGTTTCTTTTAGTTTAGCTCTGTAAAGGGAATGCTGAAAAAAAACTTAGGGGCAGGGCTGAGAAAAGGAGCTACAAAAAAGAAGAATTTTCATGAACCTTATACCTATAAACAGCTTTAAGTAGAATGTTTAAAAATTGTAGTTGATCAAAAATAAGGAATAATTTATGAAACAAATTAGTCACTAGGACATTAGATGACAGCATCTAATTCTCAGAATTAGTTACAGATAACTCATGATGGCTAAGCCAATTAAAACTCGTGAGTTGCATTATTCATTGATCCAATTTAATAAAGATAAGTATGCTATAGACATAACAAAGTCTCTGACTTAGCATAGTCTGTGACCAAAAATGTTTCCAGTCTTCTCCACCTTACTTGTAATTCACAATTTGCCAAGGGCTTATAACGATATTAAACAACTCTTTGTAGTATTGCTATATCTTGGATTTTTAATTTAAATTTTTTATTTTTATACGTACTATCACAAATGTATAGTACAAATTTGTAGAGGCTAACTACAATACACGTCTTTAAGAATTCGTACGATTCTGTGATCTTCCACGCAAAATTTCAGACAACATTTATAAATCATGGTTTCTTTTTTTTCTTTTTTTTTTTCTTGTTTTTTTCCTGTTTAGGTATTCCTAGCAGACCTCGTAAGCTGAAAGTAGTAATAAATCCTAGAAGTAAAAAAGGTGAAGCAAGGCTTGTGTACTTAAAAAAGGTTGCACCTTTATTTGAGAAGGCTGGCATCAGGGCAGATCTCATGAGTAAGTTATTTGTAGTAGTTGCTCATAATTATAGTGCAAATTCGAAAAAGTGTGTTACTAGTTGCATGTGTTTTGTCCACGTGTATTGTATGTGACAGTTATAATAAACCCCGCCAAATTGTGTGTAAATTGATAATTAAAAACACCTTAATTTATTAGTCACATATAACAAAGTATGTATTACTAACAATTTAACACTTTACTTTCTAAAACATATATCAATTTTTTCTTTTTTTATTCAAGTGCTGAATTTAAAAAGAAAAGCAAAGTTAGTTAGGCATGTAGTTTAATGGTTGAGACAATATCTGTTGTGTTTAACAAGTTCACCAAGGTAGCTCCAAGCCTGGATATGTAGGGTTTGGTAATATAAATATTAATACCAAAGCTATCAAATTATTAAATTAAATGTGTGTTGAATGTAAAGATCCTGGTGCCCAAATGTGGCAAAACCACAGATACCATTCTGACATAAACAAAGAGTTTACTTACTTACTCACTTACTCTCTCACTTTCTGACTGACTGACTGACTGACTGACTGACTGACTGGCTGACTGACTGACTGACTGACTGACTGACTGACTGACTGACTGACTGACTGACTGACTGACTGACTGACTGACTGACTGACTTACTGACTGACTGATTGACTTACTGACTGACTGACTGACTGACTGACTGACTGACTGACTTACTGACTGACTGACTGACTTACTGACTGACTTACTGACTGACTTACTGACTGACTGACTGACTGACTGACTGACTGACTGACTGACTGACTGACTGACTGACTGACTGACTTACTGACTGACTGACTGACTGACTGACTTACTGACTGACTTACTGACTGACTGACTTACTGACTGATTGACTTACTGACTGACTTACTGACTGACTGACAGTCATTTACAGTACAATCTGTAATTTGCTGTGAGATAAGCAAATAGATTCAGATGCATTTTGTAAAATGTTTCTGCAAAGCTCACCATGATTTGTTCATGTGCAAGCATTACATCGTTTGACTTTAATTTTAATTTTATCATTATCAAATTAATTATCTTGAAGTTTGATCAACAGGGATAAAATTTGAATCAGATATAAACAGCTTTAAAATAATCTCTAATAAGTTGGATTTAAAACTTATTTAGTGACACAGTGGGCAGGACATGCTTGGGAGTTCTTCCAAACTGCAGAGCTTTCCACATATGATGGGTAAGAAATATATTTCCAATGTAAATTATAATTTACAGGGCCCAAAAGAAGTTACTTTAAATTCTAAGCTAAATGATAATGTATTAAAGTAAAATCCCTTGATTTTAAAGGAAATAATAACATTTTTTACTAGAGTTTAACCAGTTGAATTAAAGTCATTCTTCTTAAAAAAAATAATTAGAATAATGCTTGGTTAAGGTTTCAGCAAAACCATAGCAGTGATGAATAATTGTAAACTCCACTAGACTTGATTTATTGTTCAGTGTAATGTTTAAGATATAAACTTAATTTAACCCAATGATGAAAATATGTTAGAAAATAGCAAAACTGTATCCAGCCACCTTAACAGTTATCACTGGAAGATGTATTTTGGGAATGTTGCCTAAACTGACATCTCAACCATTATTATTGTCAATACTCAGTGATAAGAAACAATTACAGCACTAAGTGTTGAATGTAAAAATTTTCAGGGTTGTTTGTGTTGGAGGAGATGGTATTGTGCATGAAGTTGTTAATGGATTATTAGAGAAGTCACATGGAAATGTTGGAATTGATCTGGTTGATGGAACCTTACCTGAGAAGTTCAGTGCTCTGCCACTCAGCATGCGAATTGGAATCATTCCTGCAGGTACTACTAATTCAATGCAACATCTGATTAAAGAGGCTTCTATTGTTTGAAGATTGGCCACAGGACATATTCCTTTTTTTTTTTTTTTTTTTTTTTTTGCGGTATACTGTAATTGAGATTATAGTATGTAGTGTCTATACAAAGAAAAGAAGTATTTTTCTTCCAAAAATCTGCACTTTAAGATTCTGGAAAAGAACTTGTTTAAAATCTAAACTTAAAACTGAGGCTTCAAGGCTCGATCCTCAAATCTTGAAAGTTTTTTAAAGTGAGGATCAATTTTAAAGCAAGACTATCATCCTACTTAAAGGCTTTTATTGTTCCTCTAACTGAAACTAAATTGATCAGATAATGAGGTTTAAATTCAAGACACTCATACCAACTTGAAGCAATAAACGATTTAATACTCTTAATTTTGCTTTCCTTTCTTTTGTTTTAAAGCAAGGATGTAAAATGAACTCTATTATTCCAGGGAACACACTTTATTTATACTAATTATGCATGATAATCTAAACAGTCAAACAAAAAATTTTGTGATTTCAAGTATCATGAAGGAATATACATTCAATTAATTTTTTTAGGTTCAACAGAGGTGGTGGTTTATTCAGCACAGGGATCTAATGATCCTGTCACGTCTGCTATACATATAATTTTAGGTAATTACTCCACAAATAGCTTTTATTATAGGTTTTGCTCTTTTATACATAGAACAAAATTGAGGTTAAAACACTCCTGAATTGATTTGAGCCCATATTTGTGTTAAAAAATACTCACTCTTTGACCTGAAATCTCTCTTCAGGACAAGTGGCAAAATTAGTTTCATGATTTTCTTGGATGACATTGATTGGTATAAAAACATGGTGGAAAGCAAGAGAAAGATAGTAAATAAAACAGAGGCCAAAAAACTGTCACAAATATGTTTTACAACACCCTGCATACTACAATGTCTATATGTAGTGTAGATGCACACACCCTCCATTAACTTTCTAGATGTGTCTGTGTTTCCCTTGAATTCTATTTTGAGAGTAAAATAGATCAAATTCAAGCACCATTGCTGTGTTGATTGTTGGGCACCAATCCATATAAAAACTTCTTAATGTTCATCAGTTTTTCCTTTTAGTCTCTTTATGAGAGGAGCTTTGCTCTAGTATCTTACAGATCCCTTGGAAACTGGTTTTAATATATACAATTGCGCAGATGTAATAATGGTATTCATCTTTATATTATATGTATTTGCTTCAGGTCACACAATATCACTGGATATATGTTCTCTGTGGAGTGACAACAAACACATCAGGTTCACATTTTCACTGGCTTATGGCTTCCTCGGAGATGTGTTGAAAACTAGTGAGCAACATCGTTGGATGGGTCCCAAACGATACAAATGGGGAGCTGTGAGGAGGCTCTGGAAACTCAGGTAAACTAATTAAACTTCAATTTTAGAACAATATTTTATTATGCTGAATGCTTTTCTCTAAATGTATCTTTTATTTTCTTATCTTTAATATAATTTTGTTTTATTTTGTTTGTGCTTTTATCAAATATCATCAGCTGGGCTTAATGGGTTTCTTGTTCAGTTGTTATTGTATTTCAAGCCAGAGTAGGTTAGTTTGCTTCAATCTTGCTTTTGATTTTAGGGGATTATCCCAATATGTAAAACTTTCAAAAGTTAGCTAGCTGTTATCTTGAATATATTAATTTGTAGATCATATGATGTTGAGGTGAAGTATCTTCTAAGTCCTTATCCAGAACACCATCCAAGAGATAACACTCGCTGTAGAATAGGGTAAGTCATGGAGTAAAATAACCTACTCTTATACTAGTGTAGATCTCTTTCACAATGACATCACATTTGCTATACTGTGTTTCCTAGGATATATCTTGTATAGAAGGGATGAAAGGAAAACCTGCTTCTACTACTTGTAAAAGCAATTTTAAATTTTGGTGATCAAATTATTTATCAAGGTGTTTTTCCTTGTACATGTGCAGGTGTGAGGTTTGTAGTAAGGAAGATGATCAAGATTGGGAAAGTGAGCAAAATCAAGGTACTTACTGAGATAAAGACTTCATGTAATTCATGGCCCCTGTTCTAGTTTCCTACATGTATGTACAACACATGTGAATTGAGCCAAATATTGTCTCAGTGTGTTATGTGAGAGTCAAAATGAATAATTTTAGCTCACTTAAATGATAGGTTTGTAGTTGTTATACTGGTTTACCATCTGTCTTTCATCATTTTTCTCTGCAAATATAATGTTGTGGAAATGAAATAGGAAAATAGAGAAATGAAAGGAGAGAAAATGTAATAAACATGATACTATATCAGATGAATTTAAAATGATGAGGAAATGAATTGTAATGAATCATCATAGCTAAAGAACTGACTAGTTTTGGCAACCTTCTGTTATTTAACTCACTTAATATTTTGCAATAATGAAATGACCCAGCCATTAGAACTTGAGCTTCAGTGACTCTAAGCTGGGAAAGCATTGAAAAGACAGTAGCAATGGCTCTGTAGCAAATAACATCAGTAAAAACATGACCAGATCCAAGATAGGCTAGCAGGTAGGTTCCATTTTCAAGAAAGGAAAGTTGTATTTTTCTGGCTTATTTTCTCAATTTATCTTATTTTATGAACAGAATGGAAGTCATTTCACTCTCGTGTTTATGGGGTGAACTTTTACACTCTTCCCAATCTGTGTGAGATATCCCCAGAGGGGCCGTCACCCTGCTGTCACTTGGGAGATGGTTTTACAGACCTTGTTATTATTAAAGACTGCTCAAGACTTCAATTGAAATCACATATTCAGCGAAACTTCAATTACAAAGACCAGGTTTGTTTGTTATGATGATTATATGTGATGGGCTTAATAGCATCTGCTGCTTAATAAATGAGGCAACTTTCCTTGCGAGAATGAAGATTGGTTAAGGAAAAACGGTAAAAATCAATCCTTTAAATGGGGATCATAAAACAGAGAAAGAGGAAAAAGAAAAGAAAAGTAGGGACACCAGAAGAGGCATTCCTTTACTCGCACTTCAAACACAGTAGTCCCGCTTTTTATCCATTTGCTCTGATTAAAATTACAACAAAAATTTAAAATTTCTATTGAAATACTGTTTAATTCATCACATTGGTCTTCACCCCTTTTGTTATTTACCCACTCTCTTTGCAGTTTGCATTTGGCTTCATTGAAACACACCGTGTCAAAGAATGTCATATTCATGCTTGTGACAAGAGTGGTGTCCCTGTGAGTGGTACGGATAGTCTCTTGCATGGTGGTAGCTATAGAGGAAGGAGGAATCCAAAGGAGCAACCAGTTGGTGTATGGAATGTAGATGGTGAAGTGCTCAGGCAGGCATCTCTATCACTCAGGTATCCAACAGTGTAACTCATAACAGGTTTTTTTTTGTTTTGCATAGCATTACTTGAAGTGAACTAGACTCTCCAAAGCTACATGTACTCTTGAGTCCAGCTTGAATGAATTTAGGCATTCAATGGTCGAAATGCACAAGGCCTATTCAACTTTGTGGCTGTAGGAAAAAAAGAACGGTGCACCAAAAAATGGAGAAATTTTTTTAAAATTAAATTACTTACCTATTTTTCATTGGTTTCTAGAGTTCACAGACAAATTGTAACTATATTTGGAAGTGGTATAGAGGATGTCTCGCAACAAAAGTGTCGCTTCCTGAAATGACAAAGCATTGGTAAAATTTAAAGGAGCTTATTTCTAGTATGTAATTCTTGTATCGTTCATAATGCATTTGCATGTGATGGATACAGGATGAACATCAAGGTCTACTGGATAGGGAACAAAATCCCTCTGAACAAA